AGAAAGTACTGGATGCTTGTGCTCAACTCTATTCCTTTTTTCAAAAAAATTATTATTTTTATTTTATGTATATGCATGTATTGACTGCATGTATGTAAGTGCACCAGTGTCTTGCAATGCCTGTGGAGGACAGAAGAGGTCATTGGATCCCCTGGAACTGGAGTTATGGACAGTTGTTAGCTGCCATGTGTGTGCTGGGATTTGAACCTGGGTCTTCTGCAAGAACAGTCAGTGTCCTTAACCACTGAGCCATTTCTCCAGCCCCTCTACTCTGTTCTTTTCATACCATCTAGGCCCCCAACCCATGTAATGGTTCTGATCAATTTTAGCTGGGTATTCCTAACTGAGTTGATTCAGTCTACAATCTCCTTCACAGATATGCTCAGAGGCTTGTATCTGCAGTGATTATAGATTCTTTCAAGTTGACACTCATATAAAGAAAATAATGAGGTAGAATTAAAATACTTATGTGGATAATGAGAATATCAGACTTGGACACATTAGTCCTATCGAGCCCATTAGATGAGAAATGCTGGGGGAGCAGATCAGAATCACCGTCATGCCTCTTGCCCCAATTTAAGAAGATTTCCTTTTTCACCTTAACACCTGTTGGCCTATGACTGTGCTCTGGTCCCTTATGTGCCTAAAGAAAGAGCTTTGGGTATCGGTGTACAAGATTCCCATTATTCTGTGCAGATGGCCCCACAGAGTGCATGAAGTAGTACTCTGGGCCCTGGGGCCACTCTGCTTATCCATCTCAGGAAACTATGTTAGGACAAAGTTATATAAGAACAAGTACCTGAGACTTTTAAAAAGCTGGTCAATAAATGTTTGTTTTCCATGTCATTTTTTCATATGGAGTAGTTTTCAAATGAAAAAAGCATATTCACATTGGAATAGCCATTTTGTATCCTGCTGTTGTGGTGGTTTGAATAAAAATGTCCTCCATAGACTTCAAGTATTTGGGCATTTTGTCCCCATTTGGTGGTGTTGTTTGGGGAGATTTTAGGAGCTGTGGCCTTGCTAAAGGAAGCATATCACTAACAGAGGACTTGGAGAGTTCTTAAGGCTTTCCAGATTTCCAGTTACTTGCTGCTTCTTATGCCTGCTTGAAAATGTGATCACTAGGCTTTCTGCGCTGACCAGCTGCCTCCATGCCTCCCTTACCATTATGGACTCTAACTATCTGAACCATAAGCCAAATCAATTCTTCCTTTTACAAGTTTCTTTGGTCATGGTGTTTTATCAAAGCAACAGAAAAGTAACTAATACAGAGGTTGGTACCAGAGAGTGGGCTGTTGTTCTAAGAACCTGAACATGTATACAGGGGAGGAATGTGGAAGACTTTAGAAGTTTGAAGAAGAAAAGCGGTTGAATGCTGTAAGCAGAGCTTAACAGGCCAGTCTAGTAGGAGCCTGGAAGAAAGTAGTAATGAAAGCAAAGTAGTTTCATAAAGAAATAAGTACTTAAGCAGCAACTGGGATATTTTGGCAAAGCATCTGGCAGCAGTCTTCCCCACGTCTAAGAACTTGCTTGAGGCTAAGTTTAAAGGTAATGGACTAATTTATTTGGTGGAGGAAATTTCACGACAACCTAACTCTGAATAGGGGATGTGATTACCAATGTTCAATATTATGGAGATCTACTATGAGAAAGAGCAATAGGAGCAGAAATAAATGCAAAATATGCAGTTTTGATTGAGAAAGAGTACTAGGAAGATTAAAGTTAAAGTCAAGGCATATGATGAAGGAGAAGCTGTCTTTGATAAGGAGATTAGAGCCATTAAAGAGAAACCTAGAGATTTGCACTTAAACTGTGAAAAGACTACCTTCAGGGCAAGACCACACCCACTTAAGCCTCCAACTTGTGAAAAGAAAGTACCAGAGGGGTTTTCTGTTCTTGGAAAAGTACGGCATAGAAAAACTGCTAATGTGGATGAAACCAGTGAGGGTCCATTCCCAGACTGGTAGTGAATCTTGTCAGTGTTGTTCATATGGTGTTGACTTTAGAGACACGAAAGATGTACGAGTGAAGGAGTTGTTGTTTCTTCCTCCACTATTTCACAGAACTGCTTAAGCCAGATAGTGTGCAACAGGGGTGTCCCTGCATAAAGAAGGCCTTGACAGGTGACAAGGCCCTGACAGGCCATTGCATGAAGCTGTGAAGGTAAAACCTGGTTGGCAGTGGAGACCCCCAAAAGATGATCAAGATGCTAGAGCTGTGAGACATCTGCCAAGGAGAGCTGTTTAGAAGGAGAGAGAGATATATATTACTTGCAGCAAAACTGGAGGGGCTCAGTTGTATCAGGTAAATGGTGCCTTTGGAAGTAAAGTCCCAGAAGTCAGACATGGAGCTGCTGGATTTGGTGTTTGTCCTGCTGGTTTTTGGTCTTGTTTTGGTCTGGTATTTCCTTACTATGCCTCCATTCCTCCCTTTTGGAATGGTAATGGGTATTTGGTCCCACTGTGTGTTGGGAGTATGTAATTTGTCTTTTGATTTTATAGAGGCTTACAGTTAAGATATTTACCTGAGTCCACTTTGGACTGTGGACTTTTGAATAGTATTGAGACTGATAATGACTATGGGGACTTTTAAAGTTGGACTAAGTGCATTTTGCGTTTTATATGATTATGAGCCTATGGGGGCCAGGGGGTGGAATATGATGGTTTGAATGAAAATGTCCCCAATAGACTCCAAGTGTTTGGATATTTTGTCCTCAAGATGATGGCACTGTTTTGGGAGGTTTTAGAAGGTGTGGCTAGCCTCCTGGAGGAAGCATGTCACTGGGGGTGGGCTTAGAGAATTCTTAAGCCTTGCGGGATCTCCAGTTGCTCTCTTGCTTCCTGTGCCTGCATGTTGATGTGAGAGCTTAGCTTCTGCTGCTCCTGCTCCAGCCACCTCCAGCTACCATGCCTCCCTGCCTTGATGGACTGTAATTCCCCTGGAATCATAAGCACAAATAAACTCTTCCTCCTATAAATTGTTTCTATCACAGCAACAGAAAAGTGACTGATATATCAGTCATCTAAGCCCTTTTGAAGCAAGGTCCCATATGTCAGACAAAAAACTGCAGGATTTGGTGTTTGCACTGATAGTTTAAGATCTTGTTTTGGTACAGTTTTCCTCAATATGTACCCATTCCTCACTTTTCAAATGGGAATGTGTATTCAGTCCCATTGTTTGTTGGAAGTATGTAATACAACTTGATTTTATAGGGTCTTACAGTTAAGAGATTGTCTTGAGTCTCAGAAGAGACTTTTCACTCTGGACTTTTGAATAGTGTTGAGACTGGTTAAGACTATGGGTACTTTTGAAAGAGGACTAAATGCATTTTGCATTTTATATGGTTATGAGCCTATGGGAGGCAGGGAATTGAATGTGGTAGTTTGAATGGGAATGTCCCCTACAGGCTTCAAGTATTTGGCCAGTTTGACCCCAGTTGGTGGCACTGTTTCGGGAAGTTTTAGAAGGTTTAGGCTTGCTGGAGGAAACATATCACTGGGGATGTGTTTAGAGGTTCTTAAGCCTTGTGCAATTTTTAGTCACTCTCTCCTATTCCTGTGCTTGCTTAAAGATGTGATTGCTTGACTTTCTGCTCCAATCACTTTTACTGCCAGCCTCCCCCTTCTTAATGATTCTAATCCTTCTGGACTCTTAAGCCAAGTAAATTCTTTCTTCTATAAGTTGCCTTGTGATCATGATGCTTTATGACAAAAACAGAAAAGTAATTAATACAGTTATAACATTTATGCTTCCTCCCTCCCCCATCTCTTCTCCTCCTCACACACAAATATCCAGAAAACTTAATATGTCTTTCTAGACTATCATAATTCTCTTTCAGTTTCTTTATATTTTGTAATCTATAAAGGTTGAAATTCAGTAAATTGATTTCCTGACTACCAGTGAGAGTGAGCAGTTATTTTAAAAGCACCATCTTGGTGAAATTTGAATTTTCTAATGGTTCTTAAAGGTTTAAAGTTGATTACTAAGACTAAACCAAAATCAACCACAGACGTTATGTATCAATAGGTGAAGATAGGGGGATTCCTTGCCTCTCTCTTAAGCCTCAAAGGAAAAGGTTTATTGGAAACAAAAGTAACTAAAACTTGTAGGACTAACATGGACTTAACTGTATATTGTACATTTACTCACCATGAAGTTTCAAACAGGTTTGTGGATGTCATATTTTTCAAAGTGAATCTTTTACTATCCTTCCCCTTCCAGGGGATCTGACAGCCTCTCTGTCCTCCGCGGGTATTGCACGACATGGGTGCACTTACCTACATGCAAGCAATACACACATACATGTAAAATAAAAATAATTAATAAAATATTTATCAATTATATATATATATATGTATAATTTTCTGAGATAGGTTCTTACTACATAGTCCAGACTAGACTGGAAACCTTGATTCTCCCGTCTCTGCCTCCAGAGTATTGAGATTACAGGTTATACCATCTTTCCCAGCTCAAATTGGCATTTTAAATTCAGGGAATAACACACAGTACACATGCACACACATGTGCATGCACACACACACACAGAGGTATGCATATAATTACTTTAATTTTGTAGTTTTAGAGAGGATTTCTATTTGTCCCTGAAAATATGTAATTTACTTAAACATTTTTATATTTTTATAAAGACTTTATTTTAAATTTATGTGTATGAGTGTTTTGTCTGCATGTATGTAAATATACCACATCCATATAGTGCCTGGGAAGACCTGAAGAGGGTGTCAGATTCCCTGAAACTGGAGTTACAGATGGTTGTGAGATGCCATGTGAGTGCTGGGAACCAAACCCAGGTCCTCTAGAAGAGCAGCCAGTACTCTGAATTGCTGAGCCAATTCTCCAGCCTCTATTTAAGCATTTTTAATGTTGAATTGGTTAAGGCCCTAGTAAAGAGCAACAATCAGTACATATACTATCTGATCACACTTTTGTATTGGGCGCTTACTATTCTTAATTCTAATTCCCAATTTTTCTCTTTTAAGGAAGTTTACAAGTTCGCTATCAGCTAGGCAAGGAAGAAAGTCATGTATTCACCATCGATGTAAAGAACTTGGCCAACAGAAGGATGCACCATGTGAAGATTAGCCGAGAAGGCCGAGAACTTTCCATTCAGGTACCTTACTTCTCATCTTCTTAGCCCATGTGCCAAGGCTTCTTCATTAAACCATCCTGAACGTCTGACCCGAGCCATGTGGAGAGGCAAGTGCTGGTGTGTGGATTTGCATCATACTAGGTCCACTCTTGGACCAAGTAGAGTAGAAGATGCTCCCCTCCCACTGGCATCACCATCACCTGAGACTTGGCCAAGAATGAACATTCTTCAATTTCCCACCAGAGCTGTTTAGTTAGAACCTGTTGGAGAAGAATTAGCATTAACAATTGTAGTGTATGTGCAAGTTCAATAAGCTCTTAACCTGATGGAGTAAGGAAGAAATGCAGATAAAGAGGAAATGGCAGAAGATTGGAACCAGGGCCATAGTGGAAGTGGTGTAAGTGACATGTGTGTGTTATATTGGAGGAACTTTGTACCGACAGAGGAGATTCCATGGCTTTTCTTTCAGGAAGCAGTTTTATTTGTGCCAGCACTGACTCAGTAGATCTGTATCCAAAAATACTGAGTCTCGAAATAGCCAAGTTTTGCTTTGTGTATTATTCTAGCCCCTTTGTCTCCATTATATGCTAACAGATGTTCTCATTGTGTATGCTAAGGCTATAGGGTTTTGACACTAAAACCACTGGAAGGTAGCATACCTGTGCATGCCTGACACTGATCAGATTGTGCTTTCTTCCCTTTACTCTATTTTCCTGCCAATTTCTACCACAAAGAAGGGAGCATAGGTGATTTTCAAGCCCTCAGGAAGGCAGAGGGTAATCTTCAATCAGTACTTACTTCCTGGAGCAAAATAGGTCTTGAAGATGAGTAGTAAGTGGCTGGATAGAGAAGCTAAAGAGGGCTCAGGAAGCAGCACCGCCCTGAGCAGAGGGCCCTATGAGCACAGGCAGAGCTGGCTTTGAAGACAGTGCGTGGTAAATTTTGTATGACTGTCAGTGCCTCTGTGTAAAGACCTGACAACAGATGACACAATGAAGTGTGTGTAGATTCTAGGCTGCCTCCCTTGATCATAACCTTAAGGAAGAACTTAAATCAGCTTCACTATCACCATGTTGCTTGGGTGAATTTAGTCCATCCTTCACCTGTCCTTCAGTCTTGCCACTTTAAACTTCTTCCTCTTTCCTTATGCCCCCAACAGTGGCCATGGCACCCGAACTCTTCTTTTGTGAGCAGTGTAGCCTTTAGAAGAGACATCGGTACACATTCCTCAGCATATTTCTACTTAAACCTGGACCTGTGTGCTGGTGCTCTCCTGGGGCTGACTGAAGAGTTCATACGAATCATGTGAGTCAGACCTCACACTCTTTTCACAAGCACCATTTCAACATGCAACTGTCTTCTTGCCTCCTTAATACTTTTCTATTTCTACAGACTAGTTCCTTGAAGTACATACCAAGTACTTATTGAGTGCATTGAAAATAATAAAAAAAATTAAAATCTTTTTGGTTCAAGGGAAGAACCCCATTTCTCATTAGTTTCATGGATTGTCCCACTTTCTTATTTTATTGTCTTATTTCTTGGAAATGTTGGTATATACTGGATTTCCAAAGTATACCTTCTGTCTTAGTTACTTTCTCATTGCTGTGACAAAATACCTGACTCATGGGTTGAGGGTAGAGTCCTTCATAGCTGGTCACATTGAATCCCTAGACAGAAATCAGAGGCAGATAAATGATGGTCCTCTACTTGCTTTCTAGTTTTTAATTTAGTCTAGAGCACCAGCTCTGCAAATGGTGCTGTCTGTACTTGAGGTGGGTCTTCCATCTCAATGAACTCAATCTAGAAACTCCTTCACTGAGAGACCTAGAGGTTTGTTTCCATAGTGATTCAAAATCCCATCCAGATGACAATCTAGATAAGCATGATCACACCTCTCTTCTTCTCCTAGTGCCACACTAACTGAGCTCCTCCCTATATTATAACAAAGTTGTACTACTCAAGACGTGAGCGAGGTAATCTTGCAGAACTCAGTTGTGGGAGTTTGTCAGACTTTATTGTCATAACCATGACAACTGACACAGAAATTTCTTTCCCCTATGGGACTTGGGTCTTCCTTACTCGCAGAGCATCTCTGTCGTCTACAGTTCCTTCTGCCCCTGTTGACCTTTGCTGAGTCTTTGTGGGTTTCTGTCACCTCTCCAAGATCTACCAACCAATGCACACTGGGATTCTGTTAGATTCCTTCAGGTTTGCAGGTACATGCATTCAATGACTGATGTTATCCAATATTGTGTTTTTTAGGGTCATGCAGTTGCCCGTGTATCTATCCCAAATCTCTGTTTCCATTCAGGCCCCTGCTGACTTGTTGCACCCTGTCTCCTTGACTTCTACCTATACTGACAATCTTATTATTTTGTCTTTGTACTCAAAGCTATCTGCAACAGAATTTACTTATTTTTCTTTCAGTCCTGTAACACCCTCTAGAATGTAAGTTTCATGAGAACAGGGATTTGTTTTGCTTTTATTGTTACAGAACTCCCACTATACCCAGCAGCACCTAATACCAGGTTGGTGCTCAATAAATGTTTATGTACTAAGTGAATGAATTCCACATGACTGTTGGTACTATGTATGAAGACTGAGGTAGCCCTGTGGAGAAGGGGAGGTGCTCTACTTTCATTTCTGTTGCTGTGATAAAATATCCTGAGAGAAACAACTTAGAGCAGAAAGGGTTTGTTTTAGCTTATAATTACAGGTCACAGTCTGTCATAAGATGGAAGTCAAGGTGGCAGGAACTTAAAACAGCTAGTCACATCGTGTCCTCAGTCAAGAGAAGAGAAAAATGAGCTTATACACATTCACATGCTTGTTTTACTTGTGTTCAGTTTGAATTCTCCATTCTTATACTCCCCTGCCTAGGGAGTAGTACTGCCCATAGTGGGCTGGGTATTCCCACATCAATTAACTTAATTAGGAAAATTCTGCACAGACCTTCTCAAGGCAACCCAATGTAGAAAACCTTTCATTGAGACTCTTCCCAGGTGATTCTAGGTTGTGTCAAGTTGGCAACTGAAACTAACCATTATAAGAGGAAAAGCACTGAATATTAAACTCAAGGGTAGTGTGTTTGGATCATCTCTTTGATAGCATCCCTGTGATCAAAGCATATTTAGAAGTGAGATGAACCAAGATTAAGACCAGCAAGAAGATTCCATGGGCCTTGAGCCATCCATGTGAGGAGCCATGGAAAAAAGAATTCAGGGATGCATGGGAATGGCACTTGCAGCACTGGGGAACCTTTCAGTGTTGAATGTGGGGGACAGCAAGAAGGGCTATCAGTTATTCCAGTTAGATGGAAGTTCAGGAGGAATTATCAAATATATGGCACAAATAATTCCCATGTCATCAGAAATTAATGGCTCCCCATCCCCATGGAGCAGATCTAAGGCATATCACACACCTGTGAGATTTATTCCTGAAATAAATAGTGAGGATTCCTCTGAGCATGCTTGGGTTGGGGCCAAACTGGGAAATTAAAGGAATGGTGATGATGACTTGTTTTTTTAGTGTGTGTGTGTGTGTGTGTGTGTGTGTGTGTATGTGTACATGCCTGTGGACACCAGAGGACAATCTCAGGTCTCCTTCAAGAGGTGGCATGCACCTTAATTTTTGAGACAAGGTCTTTCTTTGGCTTAGAGATTTCAGAGGATGCTAGGCTGGCTGTCTAGTGAACTCAAGGGATCCTCCTTTCTCTGAGATTGAAATGCATACCAACACACCCGAGTTTTTACACGGATTCTGGGGTTCAAACTTAAGTCCTCATATGTGTGCAGCAAGCACTTTACTGGCTGAGCAGTCTCCCTAGTCCATTGTTTGTATTTTGAGTAAGGTCCTGATGGGAAACTGGGATATGTTCTGTTGAACATTTTACATATAACTCCTTTTCTTAATACCTTTATTATTTTCTCTCTTTTCCACAAATAATTAAGGCAAATAGAATACAGAGAATTAAAGTAGTAAGTAAGATGTATGTTTTCTCTTCTCTGTTCAAATAATTTCCACCGATCAATTCAGAGTCATTAGTAAGCATCTGTTGGGTAAGAATTTTATATTTGCAAAGTAATGAAGAGAGCTGAAATGACTGAGGCAGAGGATTTATATTTTGCCCTTAAATCAGTTTATTGGTCCTAAAAGATAGCAAGTTTATCTTTCTGACACTTCTACCTCTGTGAACCAGTCTAGACATCTTCCTCTTCTCTCAAGAAGAAACTGTTCAATATAAACAGAAAAAAGCAGATCACTACTATGTCCCTAGCCTATCCCAGCCCTCTGGGGAGTTTGTCAGGCATGTTGTGCCCCTGTGAGAAAGATAGAGCAGGGATTATTGCTGCACTCAGATAGCCAAGTATGAACCACAGGATTCTTAGATTTCCCATAGCTGCTGGTCCAAGTTGTTTCTTCTTCTCTGTGCTCTTCGTGACTATAGAAGGGAGATCTTGGGGCCTGCACCTTCAGCGAAGAGAAGGAGCTCTTGGAAATGACTTGACAAAATTGAAATCACCTAGTAATTTTTAAGACTCAGATGCTATCCTTCAACCCCAAGGGTCCTGGTGGTGAAGGTGAACTTCAGCACTTTCATTTAAAATACAGTAAAAGCAGACTGGGGAGATGACTCAGTAAAGTATTTGCCATGAAAGCATGAGGTCTGGAGTTCAGATCTTCAGAACCTATCTAAAAAGCCAAGTGCAGCAGGGCCTTCCTATAATCCCAGCAATGGCGAGACAGAGACAGGAGGTACAGACAGGCAGATCCCTGGAGCGCCCTGTCCATCTGTGCTAGACAAATGGAAAAGTTCCATGCCAATGAGAAACCCTGTCTCAACCCAAAGTTGGAAGACACCTGAAGACAGGCACCCAAGGTTGTCCTCTGATCTCTACATGTTCAGAGCACACTCATGCATAATTGTACACATGTATCTATACAGGCTTGGTGTATACATAAACAGATGAACCTATACAGACATGAACACATACATAGATACACACACCTATACATACATA